AGTCTGCTCAAGTGTACGCGTTGTAACATTTGGATCGAGACTATTATCCCATATTTGGTTATCACGTGACCTCACGGGAAAAGGTTTTTTTAAACTGAAGATTTTTTTAAAAACAAGACAGATAATTTAATCACAAATACTAAAATATCGTTGATAGCAAAAGTTATTTGAATACTTTTTTCATCTGTACTTAATTATTGACCATAAAAAAATTGGATATCGATCGTCCGAGAAAGCAAAGTGGCGGTCAATCAAGATACGACTAGCTACTGAAAACAATAAAATCTGCAAATCCTCATTGTATGTCAACCAAGTGAAAGTCGTTAGCCACGACTTACAAAATGATCGTCCAGACTTTGAGGGTTTGGCAGATCCGCTCGACTGATCTGCATCGGTCGACTGGCTGTCGTCACACTTTCGCTTCTTGTCTGAGGTTATGTATCGTAGCATTGTGAGGATAATGAGGTACATCGATGATGCAAGGTATTAATGTACAGTTGTAAACACCTTTCACTCAAATTAGCAAGATGTTCTCAGTAATTAATCCTCGATTAATCAGTGTCAACTCAGTTTATTGCTTATTACAGTGATTGATAGATTGGACTATCATGTAGGTACGATGTATTTACAGCAATCAAAACAAACAAAGCTTGTCAGTGTAGGTAATCTTCATTGTGTTGCAACTGCAGACAGAAACTGCTCAGTCCTAACTGTTGATCATGTCCGGTCAAAATTTAAGAATGTCCGGACAATACTTTTTAAAATGTCCGGTAAGCCATATTTTAAAACGGACATTTGAGATTCCCAATCGGACATGTCCGGCGCATATGACGGTTTCCGGACCCTTGCTTCATACCACTGTAGAATTCTGCACCTTTTTAGAATGATGGGTTAATTTTAACACACTTTTGAATCTATTATTCTTCATGAGTGAGTGAGTGGGTTGGTTTTTAACCATGTTAACACAACTTTGAGTATTTCATGCTCTATGAGTGAGTGAGTGAGTGAGTGAGTGAGTGAGTGAGTTAATTTTATTCATACCATGCATGGTTTCTTAATAACAATGAAAAGTATCCATGCAGCGATACAAAGTGATACCAGTCCTACATCTTCCCGGGGCAAGGGAATTAACTGACTCTAAAAGTCCAGTTTCCACCCTTGCCGAACTAGCCTGGAATTTCTTGGCTCGATCACAGGGCCACTGGTGGCTATTACGAATTATGTCCCTTCTATATTCTTCCTATTGATCAAGCAGAGTCAACCTCTCACATCACTTGCATTTACTTCAAATAAAATGGCTGCACCCCTTCAAAGTGATCTCATTAATGATAAAGATATATATCTTAATAAAACGGGTGTTACTTCGCGAAGTGCATCAAACCACGTGAGCATGTGATCAAGAGCATGAAAAGTTTTGGAAAATATCTGTCGACGTCCAGTTGGCGGTACACATCCTTTGGAAATCCTGCAGTTAACAGAAATCTGAAATCCATGTTGTTTACGAACCAGATGTCAATCTCATAACACGATTTTGATTGGACTATGCATAGACTCGTTAGTCCAGCCAAAATATAACACCATGATTGCTGCCAAGTTCGGCAAGGTAGGAAACTGGACTTTTACAGTTAGTTAACTCCCTTGCCTCAGGAAGATGTTAGTCCTATAGCTTTGCCAAACTGCCAAATAGTTAACGTATCATAAGGACTAGTAGAAATTTGCCTTCTGTAAAGGTTTTGCTATATTTTATCATTATAAGGATAGTGGACTAAAACTGTTAGTTTCTACATGGTAGAGGACTGCTCTTTATGACGGTACTACTAGAACTAAGGACTTCTCTTACTGCAGTGTATGAAACCTATAGCCAGATAGCACTGCTCTTATTGTAGCTTCTTACTTGCCTGAAAATCGTGTACTGATTGTGGGTAAGAATATAGGTCCCCAGCAGCCTATGCCTGTTGTAAGAGGTGACTAAATGGATCAGTTTGTCAGACTCAGTGTCATGGTTGATTGCATGTCATGGCATCCAAGTTGCATGGATCAATAATCTTGATGTTATTCACTGGATTGTCTGGTCAAGACTTGATTATTTACAGACCGTCATATAGCTGGAATATTACTGAGTGCAGAGTTAAAACAAATGAACCAAACACCCAAAAAAACATGACCTGAATTTATAATTATTTTTGGGGTGGTTGGGAAATAATTCAATAAAGATGAAATAGCTTAAAAGCATGTATCAGTTTTGCTTCTGGCTTGTCAAATTACCTGTCCTTGGTTAAATCTGATAATGATTCGGGTGGACACCAGCTAGGTGAAACATCTTTTGCCTTCATGGCTGTAGTGAGTGAGTGAGTGAGTATGATTTTATGCCGCTTTTAGCAATATTCCAGCAATATCACAGCGGGGGACACCAGAAATGGGCTTCACACATTGTACCCATGTCGGGAATCGAACCCAGGTCTTCGGCGTAACGAGCGAACGCTTTAACCACTAGGCTACCCGACCACCCCTTCATGGCTGTAAGAGAACCATACTAATTTTCCCTGACAATGTTGCAATCAGAAAGCCAAACCATCTTCAAAATTAATCAACACTAAGTATCCTTTTTTCATTGCCTGAGTCACATCCTTAAAATACAGTTGATTTGTCTTGGGAACATTTATTATGATATCAACATTGATAATACATCAGAATGAACTTATTCAAAATCATAAAATGGTTTTATATACTCACCGCCAAAAGAAACGTGGAAACCATACATATTTGTTAATATATGAAAACTTACTCATATTCAAGAGATATTAATATATGAAAACTTACTCATATTCAAGAGATATTAGATTGGTCCGATGCACAAACAAACATATTGTTATGTTGCGTGAACCGGCACTCATAAACGCATCATGTGACGTAATAGATCCATGACTCGAGATGTACCATTTGTCTCATGCAGGATTAGCGTGTAAAGTTTGGAAATCATGTGCAGCATATCGTGATAAGAATAAAGACACTGTGGTAACACTAGACTGATTGTTAGTTTTGTCATTAAGTGGTACACTTTGGAAACAGCTCTTATTAACGTACATACTTCTCTATATGTTTCTATGGTTCACGTTTTTTTTGCCCACCCAGACACACAGTGGTGTAAGAGGTTGTTGACAATATATAGTGTTATAAAGTGATATTTAAGATGTACTTAATCTAATAGTTCGCTGACAATACATCATAATGTATGGTGTTAATCTGAGTGGAATAAATCAACAGTTTTGCCTAGTATAATTTCAGTGACATCAAAGTGGACATCAAACACTTTAACAACATATCAACTTCTGTTCACAGCTGTTTAATTGTGCTATCATATTTTATATCAAACATCTTTCTGTATTTGTAAACGATATATGATTTAACGCATGCATTAATCAACTTAAAAGTTAAACAATTTGTTACTATGAAAGCATTCAAGCTACTTGTCTCAAACTAGTCTGTCACACAGACCCTGAAACACATGTATCCATACCGCTCATGCAAGTCTATAATAAAGAAAGACAAGTTCTGTGGATGAACAACTTCTTTATTACATTTTGTAATAAAGAAGTTGTTCATCCATAGAACTTGTCTTTCTTCATCACACCAACTTCTAATTGCCAATGAAAGAAATCTATAATAGTTTGGCAAGTCTAGATTATAGCAGTTTCTGAAAATGAAGAGAGTCTCTTATCAGCGCAGAGCTGTGTAACTTTGTTCATATCAGTGCAGAATTGTGTAACTGTGTTCATATCAGTGCAGAAATGTGTAACTGTGTTCATATCAGCACAGAACTATGTAACTTTGTTCATATCAGCACATAGCTGTGTAACTTTGTTCATATCAGCACATAGCTGTGTAACTTTGTTCATATCAGTGCAGAAATGTGTAACTGTGTTCATATCAGTGCAGAAATGTGTAACTGTGTTCATATCAGTGCAGAAATGTGTAACTTTGTTTATATCAGTGCAGAAATGTGTAACTTTGTTTATATCAGTGCAGAAATGTGTAACTTTGTTCATATCAGTGCAGAAATGTGTAAGTGTGTTCATATCAGTGCAGAAATGTGTAACTTTGTTCTTATCGGCACAGAGCTGTGTAACTGTTCGTATCGGCACAGAACTATGTAACTTTCTTCATATCAGCACATAGCTGTGTAACTTTGTTCATATCAGTGCAGAATTGTGTAACTGTGTTCATATCGGCATCGAGCTGTGTAACTTTGTTCATATCTGCATAGAGCTGTGTAACTGTGTTCATATCGGCACAGAGCTGTGTAACTTTGTTCATATCGGCACAGAGCTGTGTAACTGTGTTCATATCGGCACAGAGCTATGTAACTTTCTTCATATCAGCACATAGCTGTGTAACTTTGTTCATATCGGCACAGAGCTAAGTAACTTTGTTCATATCGGCACAGAGCTGTGTAACTTTGTTCATATTGGCACAGAGCTGTGTAACTTTGTTCATATTGGCACAGAGCTGTGTAACTTTGTTCATATCGGCACAGAGCTGTGTAACTTTGTTCTTATCAGTGCAGAGCTCTGTAACATGAACAATGAAAACACAAGCCAAAATGATGCCTGTCACATTTAAATATGGTGGGATGTATGATGCAATAATCACATTCACATTAAATGCATAAACTGATAAGACTTGGTTGTTTCTCAAAATAATTATTCACACATTTTGGGAAGACTTCCACCCGTATCCACCTCAAAGAGTATTATATATATATATATATATATATATATATATATATATATATATATGCATTGTCGCTCAATCCTTTTCATTATACATATTTTTGAGGCGGGATACGGGTGGAAGTCTTATGATATCAATAGAAATATCGATTCTGGTTAGGATTCCGCATCCCCTCCTCAAAAATATATATCTTTAAAAGGATTGAGTGGCAATACATACTTATATCTCTTGGAGGTGAATACGGGCGGAAGTCTTTCCTGGATGCTTACCTTTGCGTCTTTCAGCGTCAACAGGCTAAAATCTGGGCTGTCAAGATATTCCTGGAGAGTTGCATCATAAGGTCCACGTGTTAGAGAGGCATGACCCACACGTCAAGTGCATTCTTTGTGAAGAATACAATTAGTCGCTCTTTTCTCGGGGGACCACGTCAACAGATGGTCAGCCATATAGTATATGTTGTAAATCTGTTGTCTTGCAAATTCCGCCCACTGAACTGACAATCAGAGCATCGTCACATCACATGCATTCCTCTCTTCTGACATTCGTACGGTACCGCAGAGCCTAAAAAATGTCCGAGATGTGAGGTCACGACTAAAATAGCGCAGTCTTTGTTATCATGAATATTTTCCTCCCATGGTAAAGCTTCTTGGCATCATTCGTGAGCTATAACGTATTGTGTGAGGTACTGTCGTACATAATCCCAACCCCGAGACGTCTCGGAGATTGTGTTTGCAATTTCAGCTGCGGGTTCCCGGGGCGCGCGCTGACATTTAACCCATGACCTCTGACCTCTGTACAGCTGTTGAACAACTGATGACAGTATTTGTCGACTTTTCGTGAGAATAAACACGTGTTTAGCGAATGGACACACGATGGCTCAAAGTCCAAGCTGATATGACCCGACCATGTTTAAATTGCATTACACGTTGGTCGTAAATCTGTATAAATCAATACTAAAAGAGGTTTGTACACATACAAACCTTTAAATCACGATTCTATATCTAATAACCAGGAGGTGGATCGGCTTATATTTTACTCCGTCTAACGTGTGTCTGTTATTATATACAAACGGATCGGGATGGGATGACACAGTGCGTCAACGGTGTCATAATGACTGTAAATCGCATTTAGTAATCAACACTTCTGAATTAATATTATAGGGTGCATAAATTTCAATACAGAAAAATATTCTGTTCAAACACGTCATTGTAAATATTCTTTTAGTTATAAGTGTGGTTATACATACATACTTAGCCTAACATCTAGTCTCTGAAATGAACATATCGTACAGAAAAAAACAGTTGTTCAGTTATCTTAAAAAATATATAATAAAAGGGAGCCCAGTGACTCTCTTCATTTTTAGATTGCAGTAATCTAGACTTGCCAAACATTATAGACTTGCATGGGCTGTATTTGAATATATTTGTATCAGTGTCTGTAAGACTAATACATACTTAGACTAACATTTAGTCTATGAAATATTTTATACACAACACATTTCTCTCCTCTAAAATTGAAACAATTAATTTTCCTGATGTTGATTTCATATGTGGCTGAAGCTGGCTTGACTTGTTTTTATATAAGTGAGTGAGTATGATTTTACGCCGCTTTTAGCAATATTCCAGCAATATCACGGCGGGGGACACCAGAAATGGGCTTCACACATTGTACCCACGAGGGGAATCGAACCCGGGTCTTCATCACGACGAACGAACGCCTTAACAGATAGGCTACCCCACCGGCGCTTTTATATAAATCTAAACTGGTTTTGTTTATTTTATAAATACATATATTCAACAGTCACGGTGCAGGACTAATATATACTACTCAAAACAAGTTAAAGAACACCTGATTCTTTCATATTACTATAGTTAATCTGTCATGGTGTATGACAGATTAACTATAGTAATATGAATGAATCTTTTAAATAGAATTTAAATTTTTCAGATCGGAAATTATTTGTTGTTCTTGAATCACTTTGCATTTCAAATAGTGATCCTTCTGGTACTTTGAAAAAAATGGGAGATATCGGGATTGTTTCATATTCATCTTTATATGTCCGAGGTGACCAATTGGATAGGTTGGTCAGGGAAGGTCACGGTCACGGCAAGGGATGATGCTCTTAATATCAGTCACTGGTTTGTCTGGTCCAAACTCGAGTATGTACAGGCTGACGTCATATTGCTCTATATTGCTGTGTGCGGCGTTAAACAAGAAAGAAAAACCTCTGATATAATTCATACCGGTTGTGACCCGTGAAGAATCGGGTAAGCAAAACAAACAAACATGGTCGACGGGGTAGCAATTTTCACCTCGTTTAGGCATATGATGGATATTAATAGCAAGGCTCCCGTTTCACAAAGCGATATTAGCGATACGACTATGGTTGGTTGTTGGTTTGTTGTTTAACGCCGCACTCAGCAATATTCCAGCTATATGACGGCGGTCTGTAAATAATTGAGTCTGGACCAGACAGTCCAGTGATTGCTATCATGAACATCGATCCACGCAATTGGGATCAATGACATGTATCAACCAAGTCAGCGAGCCTGACCACCCGATCCCGTAAGTCGCCTTTTACGGCCAGCATGGGTTGCAGAAGACCTATTCTATATACGACTATGGGAAGACTATGTTAAAGTATAGGAGTTACGATTGTTGTATATACTTGCTGTTTGGTTGTGTGTGTGATAGTATGAGTGATAATGTGAGTGAGTGAGTGAGTGAGTGAGCCAGCGAGTGAGAGTGAATGGCACTGTTCGCCGGTCAGTAATTGGCTAACTGAAGGTAAATTCTCCACTCGAAGGCACGGGTCGCCCAGTTGACTTAGCTATCGTTGTGTTGAGTTGCGTCACTTGTGGTCGTGGTTTCAAATCCCAGATTCACCATTTTTAGGTTTCTAGGTTTATCAGCACCATACCCGTGGTCGTGGGTTTCACCAAAGCGGAAAACGTCTGAGACCTGCATCACTTCCGGTTTCCTTCCCTACAAGTCGACCCGTCATTACTATTGAACGCTGAACGGCACACACATTAACTATGTCATAGATAAGGCAGAAATGGGCGCAGTTGCTTTGTACCTTTTCAGCCCTGCCACAAGAGATTTTAAAGATGTAGCGTTGTTTGTGTATTCCGAAAAGTTTATAGCATGACACCGTTATAGTTTGTTTGTTTGTTGTTTAACGCCGCACACAGCAATATTCCAGCTATATGACGACGGTCTGTAAATAATCGAGTCTGGACCAGACAATACAGTGATTGACATCATGAGGATCGATCCACGCAATTGGAATACGATGACATGCATCAACCAAGTCAGCGAGTCTGATCACCCAATCCCGTTAGTCGCCTCTTACGACAGGCATAGTCGCCTTTTACGGCAAGCATGGGTTTATGAACACCTATTCTACCACGGATCTTCACGGGTCCCGTTTATTGTTTACAGATGAACACATACACGCGCATGCACACAGTTAGTATATATAAGTGATCTTGAACGCGACCTCAAATCCGAACTTCCCCTCCTCGACAATCTGCAAGCACCTATATTTATATACGTCGTTGGTCTGCTGTACTACCTGTTTCTTACAGCAACGCTATACTTTCTATGGAGTATAAAGGCAAATGTTAAGCAAATTTTATTGTCACGTATGATATGTACAATAAGGTCAGGCCAAGGTGAAACAGTGGTCACTGCCCTTTCCCGAGGGCCTCGAAACCAGTTCCTGTTTTATCAAGCTGGGTCCCCTCCACAAAGCGACCCTAGCGCTATGATGATCGTAGCTCCCATACTTTAACATAGGATTACGATAAGCGTAACGCTAAGATAGCTTTGTGGAACGGGTCCCAGGGATGTAGGGGGCTAATGGTGGTGGTTAATGTTCCCCAAACAGCCCTTGAATTAAATATTAAACTAAATAATATCGACAACATAAGTTCAAAATATGAACATGTTAATTCGAAGTCAACACGTGTATCTCCTTGGGCAAGTGACTTTGTTGGAAATGTGCATCTGTTCACCCAGCAGTGAATGGGTACCCGGTAGGATGAGATAACTGTTAACCTTCTAGCGCCTAACAGACAGCTTGGGTTGTATACTCCCACGGGAGCTGAGAATGATACTTGACTGCACATTGATCCAGTGACCAGAGTAATAATAGCGCTTTGAGCATGCCCCTGAGGTGTGGAAATATGCGAAGTATCAATAGCATATTCTTCTTCTTATTTATCACTAGATCTACCAAAACAATATCCTCAAAAATATTCACAATATCGAACTTTTTTGTACAGTATATATTGTATACAGTTATATACATATACATTAAATACATATTTTACATGAAGAGGAAATTCCATGATGACTCACAAAGGTCGATCTCTAGATCATGTTTGTCAAGAACCAATGTTGTACAAGAAAAAGTCGGACATGATAAGTCACTGTCCTCGGCGTGTAAGTAGGCCACAAAGCATTTCTGTCTGATCTAGTTAGGTGAGTGTACAAATGTGATAAGAATTAAGAAAAGAAGGTCTGTCGCCGTATACTGAATGCTTTCCATGTCAGTCTCGTGATTCAGATTAAAGTTAAATACTGAAGTCCCGCAACGACACGTTGTAAAGTTTCTGATTTAGTCCAGACAGAATTGTTGTAAGCGTTCTGTTCAATCTCATTAAAATCAGATCTAATTTCTGATTAAGATCTGATTTTTATGAGATTGCGTGCTGTTCAGAGTTTTATTTAATTTATATATTTGTGGGAAAATGAAGTAATAAAAAAATTAATACCATGCAATGGTGCTATCTGTTAAACAAAACGGGAAAGCACAGCATACACATGCATATCTGATAGATGGTCAAAACGTGGTATAGAGCGGTCATCAAATTTTTAACTCAGAGGATCAATCGCCAAAGAATATTGATGAACGGCTGAGTGCCACTCCAGTCCACCCACCACCAGCACCACAATAAACACTGATGTCCGCTCTGGTGCTGAACAATGGGGGCATAACACTCCTTGAGTTGAGTATGGGTCAGTAGACACAGTCCTTCATGAACATCTACACGACGTGTCGTGTCAAGGTTTACGCCTAGGTTATTGGAGTGTTATCTGTTAAAATGAAGGCAACGCGGGAAACCACTTCTGAGGGTGAGGTGAGGTGAAATGGGGTTTAACGTCGCTTCCAAGATTATTGCATTTATATAGCGACGTTCACGCGTGCGTGCGTGCGTGCGTGCGTGCGTGCGTGCGTGCGTGTGCCTGCTTGTACTAGTCCGGAGTAATGCCGTTTTTAGTGCTAGCCCACTGCGATACCACGTCGCAGTTTAACATGAATGCCCCACTCAGACAAAGTATACTGACTCCGAGCCGTCCAGTCTTTAATGCCGATCGCCAGACAGGGTAACAACAAGTACCATCTTTTAACGTATTTTGGTATGCCGCGGCTGGGGATCGAACCCAGGACCTTCCGCTCTCCGGGCGGACGCTCTACCACTAGATGTCGGGTTAACCATTACATAAGTGCAACCCAGATAATTTTCATAATAGACCTGGATCTATCAGCAAACAGGAAGCCATGGAGTGGTAACACTTCGGGTCTTACAAATCAAGAACTTTAAAGCAACCAGATCCCACTGAGAGAGTTAGTCCAAAGGGCATATTACACATATTATTTACCAAGGGTACGACCGCCTCCGTGGTCTAGTGGTAGAGCGTCCGAAGAGCGGAAAGCTCGGGGTTCGATCCCCGGCCGCGTCATACCAAAAACGTTAAAAAAAGGTACTTGTTGTTACCCTGTCCGCCGCTCGGCATTAAGGGGCTAAAACAAGGACTGGTCAGTATACTAAATCTGAGTGGGGTATACATGTTGAAC